AATGAGATGCCTCGCGTCTGCGGACAGGGAGGTGCGATCGGGCTTTAGGAAGTGGGCGTGCATGATCCGGTGGATGAGCGGGAGGGGTATTGACGGACTCGTCGAGGATGTTGGGTTTCCACCTGTCCCTCCTGTGGTGACCTCGGCGAGGATGAAGTCGGGTTCTGGGGATGATAGGTTGAGATCGCGGTCGTGGGACAGGGAGGCTTCTTCCTCCTCCTCCTCCTCTTCTTCTTCCCCGTCCTCTTCGCCTTGTACGTTGGTGTCGTCGTCATTGTCATCATCATCTTCATGGCCAAGGCTCTCATCCTCCTCGACCCCAGTGTCCACATTCTCGTCCGACCCAGCACCATCTCCGTCGTTGTCTTCTTCTTCCGGACTAGAATCCGAGTCTGCGTCCGACTCTCCCAGTATTGCTCTCATCGTCCCCGCCGCACCTCTCCGTTTCGTTTTCTGCGGTTTCGCCTTCTGTCCGGCTCTCTGGTTCCGTTGTTGGTGCTGTCTACGTACTTTCGAGTTCCCCGTTGCCCCCAGACTGCGTCTGGCTGCTGCGCTCTTTGTGGTCGCCGCACCCTTCTCTTTCGTCGATTTTGTAACCTTTGACTTCCCCGGCCGGGGCGGGGAGAATGCATTCTTCGGTTTTCTGATCGTTGTCGAGGGCGCCATTTTAGCCCGGTCCCTGCGGCTTCAGAGGGTGGAAAGAGGAGTATTGTGGATTTTCAAAGGGCAAGTGACTTGTAATCGTTTGGTGTGGGAACTGGGTGCAAGTTTGTTCTCTCTCTGTTTCTCTGTGCGTATGCGTTGGCCGAATGTGAGAGTCTGAAAGGGTCGTTTCTGTCTGTTGCGTGAGCGTGGCTGTCCGTGGACAACGTGATGCCTGTTACAAATATTCGACGCGCTCAGAAAATGACATCATAGGCTAGCGCGTCTTGCACGCGTCAAGGCACTTCCACCAACAGTGCACACGAGACAATTCAATGGAAAAGATACTAGGTACTACGGATTGAAACTGCAAAGTGATTGTATGATGATTTTATTAAGACCGTGTATGTCTACTACAGGTCTAAATGTATCATGACTCATGCTACATAAAGTGCCCATGAAGTATTCCCAACCGAACGCCGTTCGCTTTTTATGCAAAGTCATCACTCATTTCTCCTTCAACGCCTAGCCTTGCTGTGCGCGAGCCTTGACCATTTTACTCGTAAAGGTCCATGTTTCCATTGGCTCCATCCTCCAGCTCCAACATGGCATCCTCGTCATCAAGCATATCTTCATCCTCTTCCATCTCACTGTCGGTGTGGTTGGGCAATACCACGACGCGTCCATCCTCCAAGACGACATTGGCCGTCTCTCCATCCTTGATGGCGCCTCTCAAGATCAACACAGCCAGGCGATTGAGAATCTCCTTCTCGATCAACCTCTGCAGAGGACGGGCGCCATACGCAGGTGAGTATCCAGCAGCGCCGAGGTAGTCTTTGACCTCTTCGCTTGCGTTGATGGTGATCTTCTTGTCGTTGCTTTCGAGTCTCTTTTGGATCTCGCTTAGTCTCAGATCGACAATCTTGCGGATTTCTCTCCTTGTGAGACGGTTGAAGATGACTATTGAGCTGATTCTGTTCAAGAATTCTGGCAGGAAGTAATTCCGCAGAGCGTTCATCACCAATTCCTTGGTGGTTGGATCGATCTTCCCATCTGGTGCAGTGTTGCGAGACAGATATTCGGCACCGAGATTGCTCGTCATGACGACGATGCAGTTCTTAGCGTCAACAACACGGCCTTGGCCATCAGTGATTCTGCCGTCGTCCATGAGCTGGAGCAGCACGGTGAGCACCTCTTTGGCAGCTTTCTCCACCTCATCGAACAACAAGATCGAGAAAGGCCGACGTCGCAACGCCTCGGTGAGCTGTCCACCAGCGTCGTGTCCAACATATCCCGGAGGTGCACCAATCATTCTCGACAGTGAATGTCGTTCCTGATATTCTGACATGTCAAATCTGATCATGGCCTTCGGATCGTCGAACAAGAACTCGGCAAGCGCTTTGGTCAACAGCGTCTTACCAGTACCTGAAGGACCGCAGAACAAAAAGCTTGGTGGCTGGTTGGGGTTGCCCAGGCCAGAACGTTGGAGTCGGATTGCATTTGAGACGGACTGGACAGCCTCTCTTTGGCCAACCACAATGCGCTGCAGATGCTGTTCCATGTGGAGAATCTTCTCCTTCTCGGAAGCACGCAGCCTCGTGATGGGGATACCGGTCATCTTGGCGACGATGGCGTTGATTTGTTCGGGTCCAACTGCGTCCGTAGGTGAAACCTCACCCATCGCACCCAGTCTGGCATGCTGCTCCGCATCCGCCTGAGCTCTGGCGTTCTCGAGGGCGCGGATCTTGGCAGCCACATCGGGGATGGCGTAGTATGTCAAGTCTGAAGCAGTCTGGAGGTCGTTGGAACGCTCTGCTTCGTCTCTCTTGTTCTTGAGCTGTTCCAATTTGATCTTGGCCTCCTGGATTTCTCGGGAGCGAGCCTTCTCACGTTCGTAGTGCTCCTTCAACGGTTCCAGCTCTTCCTTGACGTTTGCGGCTTCAAGCTTGGCCTCTTCCAAACGCTGAACCGACGATGGATCTGTCTCACGTTGCAGGGCGTGAATCTCGATCTCGAGTTGCCGGAGTCGTCGTTCAAGGTTATCGAGAACTTCGGGTTGAGATTCTCTAATGACACGGACGTCTGCTGCTGCTTCGTCGATAAGATCAACGGCCGAATCGGGTAGACGCCTCGATGTAATGTACCGAGCGGCAAGAGTAGCGGCCGCGACAATGGCGCCATCTAGAATGGTCACGCCGTGGTGGACCTCGTATCGCTCTTTCAAGCCACGAAGAATGGAGATTGTCTCTTGCACGGTAGGTTCCTTAACCAAAACCTGTTGGAATCTTCGTTCGAAGGCAGCATCTTTTTCAATGTATTTGCGGTACTCTGCGAGAGTGGTGGCACCGATACAGTGAAGCTGACCACGGGCTAGCATGGGTTTGAGCAGATTCGCGGCGTCCATTCCACCCTCGCCACTGGCACCAGCGCCCATAAGAAGATGGATTTCATCCACAAAGAGAACGATCATCTCGTTAGAAGCCTCGATCTCTTTGAGGACACCCTTCATTCTCTCCTCGAATTCACCACGGTACTTGCTGCCAGCAACAAGAGATCCCACGTCCAGCGAGAGAAGCTTGCAGGCGGCAAGATTGGCAGGCACATCGGCATTGATAATCCGCTGTGCCAGGCCTTCAATGACGGTGGTCTTGCCGACACCAGGCTCACCAATGAGGACGGGGTTGTTCTTCGTTCTTCTGGACAGAATTCGAATCACTCTGCGGATCTCTTCCTCTCGTCCAATCACGGGATCGAGTTTGCCTTCTCTTGCAAGTTGTGTCATGTCAATGGTGAATTTCTTGAGGTTTTCGTTCTCCTCCTCTGAATCGGCTTGTTTTGAGTCGACCCGCTTCGTGCCACGTATTTGTTGAATGGCCGAGTCGATGAGTTTGGTGTTGGGAACGTTTGCCTCCCGCAGGGCTTCTTGAATCTTCGGATCTTGCGCTAGGGCTGTGATCAAGTGGTCAATGGCCACATAGGTATCTTTTTGCGTCTTTTGCAGTTCCTGGGCGGATCTGATCACTTTCGAGAGGGACGGCGACATGGTGACATGTTCGGGCGGAGGATCTTGACTCGGAAGCCGCACCAGGGCTTTCTTGAGTGCTCTGTCGAGTAATTGGACATCGCCATGTGCTCTTTCGACCACTTGTCTGAAGAGTGGAGCCGAAGCGTGCGACTGTGAGGCATTGACTGTCGTCTGTTGGTCCTTTGATTCGTCCGGAGGAGGGTCAAACAGAGAAACTGCCAGGTGGAGTGGTAGAATCTGTGAATGTGCATATTGTTCAGCGAGGTTTGCGGCATCGCCGAGTGCCTTTGCGGCACGATCAGTGAACTGAGGCACACCCGCCATGGTTCAATGATGTGTATGTGTAGTTAGGATTATGTATTATCTCGTGTAGGAAGTTTGAGAGAAGTCTAAACAGTCACAAAATGGAGTGAGAAGCATGTTAATAAAGTGATTCTTGTACCCGGGAACTGTGCCCAAAGTGGAGCGAGACGTGTTGGTGGCTATGACATAGGTTGGCTGGCTGGCATCTTCCAGAATACCCTGGCACCGCTTGGCACCTGCGGGGAGGTTCACCGAGATTCCTGCGCACCAACCCTGGCGCCCGCCCTCAGGAACAAAGTTCTCTCGTACCTCCCGGTGACTTCCAGCAACCTCTCGCCATGGTCACCTCACGTTCCCTCCCGATCCGACCATTCATCAGACCACCACCGTCGAATTGACTTCAGGTGTCTCACCAACATGAACAATGCACACACGACACGAAAGCGGTCAGAGACTGCGACTGCAAGAGGAGGTATACTGTGAAAAGGTTGAGACAATGGCAGACTATGTAAAGAAAGACCTACGGAAAAAGAGGTCAGTCCTCAGCATAAAGGTAAACATGAATTTCAAAAGAGATATGGACAGAACGGGTAGCAAGAACCACTGGTACCGTATGGGCTCCTCCTTGATGCCTCCTGTCCTTCAGGTGATTGTTCTGGTATACATACCTATCCACTCTACATACTTTTACCCCTCAAGCGAACCCGCAAGGCCGGCTAGCTGCGTATTGACTGACCACTACCTCTTTCGACAAGACATCTTCACTGTATCCTAATCGGTAAATGTTGAGCCGGTTGCTGGTTTGTCACTTACTCCTCGGTAGTGCATCTGGGGATACCACTGACGTCGTTGTCTGCAGCCTGACGAGGAATTACTCGGCTAGTAGCTAGTCTCTTTAAGTGCTCAAGCAATGAAATTATTCAGTCTGTGGATTGGCTAATCGTAAACACATGAGAAAGAATCAGAGGCATTCTGGGGCTCATTAGAACAGCACCAACCGCGCTGATCGGATATCCGACGATGTCCTGCATCATGGCTTCAAGGCAAACTGTTTCAGATACAAGTAATCGGCCATATTGTCGTCGACAGTCTTCCGGATCACCCTGGCGGCCTTCTCTCCATATTTCTCCTTCCATTCGGCATCCCACTGTTCTTCGGTTTTTGGTGCTTTCTTCTGTCCACAGTCAGTTCTGCCACATTGGTGAAATGGATAACATGTCACTCACGTGAGTTCTCGGCTTGAGGTCTGTCGAGTCGATCGCATCCTCATGAAACCCCTTCCATTTCTCGAATGCAGCCTTTGCACGCTTCTGATCCTCTTCATTGTCCCAATTCAGCATGTCAGGGTGGAAATCAAGCCCCACGCTCTGACAGTAAGCTTGGAGAATACCCTCCGGATCATCCAACAAATCGTCCGCGTCAACCACACACACTTCAGGCACTTTGGCAGTGCCATTCGCAACATGACCATTCTCTACCCCGTTCTTGACTCCATCTTTTCTGTCTCTTATCAACCCAGCCTCTCGGGCATAATCAAAAAAGCGTCGAAGCTCATCATACCCTGCCTCATTGGGATAGAACTCGTGGAATCCCGTAATGTCATCCAATGGTGGGATGGTGCAGCGATAATAAGACGGGATGCTGGAATGGGGGTCCCGGATGAGGAATGTGAAATGGAACTTGTCGAGCAAGGCTTTTGGGACAACTGTAGGATTACCTGGCTCGCCTTCTGTCGGGAATGGAAACGGTGCTTTCTTGTGAATGCCATTGGTGCCATTGACGCCGTTACCATTGACATGATAGGTTCCATTCACGCCGTTGGTTCCATTGACACCATTGACGCTGTTGACATGATAGGCCCCGTTCACGCCATTGGTACCGTTGACCCCATTCATCCCATGGCTCGGCTTCTCGGTTCCGATGCCGCGCTTGACTGGCTGCAACGAAGGTGCCAATTTTGGTGGCTGCTGGTCGGGAGGAACTAGATAATGAAGGATGTCCTTGATAAAGACGCGTTTGCCCTATTTCAGAGGTAAGCTCCAGCTTTGAAATGGCTGCCGAGAGCCACACGAGAGGATAGGCTCGAGGGCAATATCACACCTTGGCTCGTTCGTGTTCTAGTCGATCAAATATTGTCTTGTAGGTCGAGTCCCTATACCCCGATGCATTTCTCGCATCTTCGTCGTTTTCATAGCGAACGCTCATCCTCTCCGGACTGGAGACGGAATTAGATATAATGGCGCGTCGTCCTGTCCTGTACCGACTTACCCATAATAAAAAGCGTCGCCAAATGGTTCATGGACACAGGTCAAGTCTTTCCTGGTCATGAATACCTTGCCAGATGGTCAGCATTGACATCAATTACCCAGAACAGGGCCAGGCTGGAGCGAACACGTTCAAAGGCTGTGCTGCATGCACGTGGGTGCGTGGCACAGAATATTGGTTTGGCCATGATGGCAACACCCTCTCGATGACAATGCTACAAGTCAATCGAGAGGACCAAAGTCGATAGAGTCGGCCGACTCCCGGTAAAGTGAATGTCAAGGTTCTGTGAACCTAGCAAAAATAGCCCCTTTCGGTCAGCTAGAATAGGATTTCAGCTACACAAAGCAGCTTGGAAATCGAGACAGAAGATTCTTCTGATGGCTCCCTACAAAGTCAGGGCAGATCATCAAGTCTGTATTTATAGCAAGACCAGATAACGGTAATCGGTCGCGGCTCTCGGACGGAGATGGCCAAAAGTCACTCAGGACAAGAAGTCTCTTCCTTGCTCACATTGACCTGGCATCCTTTTCCGAGGCGAATCAACGGGCCTTACAAGGTGGTGAAAAATTCGTCATTGCTCCATGTGCCAGTGATGTTGAGGATCTCGAACGACGCCAAGGGGCATGCGATTCGCTTGCCGCCGTCGGAAGGCCCCGCAGTACCAGAGAAAACCCCCAAATGATAATCCACTTTTCCAGGAACATGTGGGAGATGGAGATGATGATTGGCATCTTGATGGGTAAACGGGCCACCCGTGAGACCGAGGAGGCGAACGCCACGCATGGGCTCGATGGCTCAGCTGCGGCAAACGTTGAGGAAAGGAAAGACCATAGCCGTCTGGATGGCAAATTGAAAGACATGGATCTTTGCGAGACTGGGTGGGTGAAGAGATGGACCGAATCTGGGGCGATCTCGAGCCACCTATGTCAGTGATGGTGGTGATACATCTTGACATGAATAATGTGATCCGCCGAGCATCTCCAAAGAGGCAGAATCGACGGGTGATCACAGAATTTTCTGGCTTTGGCGGGGGACTAAGAACTGCGAAATACGAACGAACTGTGTGTGACGTGGGGAACAAGTAAGAAAGAGGAAGAAATTGTTGTTGAAGTTCGAGAGACCTCCAATTAGGGTTGGAAAGGCGTCGAGGGCTAGCGGCACCTGGTGCGGCCACTTGAACTGAAGCAGCTGAGGTGTGTATAAAGTGCATAACCAGTCGTGCCAGAGACTCTGGGGGGCCTGTCGTTAGGTCATTAGGGCCACCGCCTGCCCAGGTGGTTAAAGCCAGCTAGGCACCCAGTGACACCCTAGCACCCACTCACCTGGGGACGGAATAGGCACTTCCCGAGAGCGGAATAGTCCCCGGCAGTCCTGAAGTGCCCAGTGGTGCCTTAACACGTGCACATGCGTACCCAACGTGCCAACGCAGGCAGTCGAAGATCCCAGTGGCATCGCGCGACTGAAGATCCTATTGACGCAGGCTGTCAACACCATTGTTCTGGACTGCTAAGTCAAAGCCTTATCACGCATCTATCTTCAACCTCTTTGCTGCGGTTGGGGAGTTTGGCACTTGGAAAGTGTCAAGTTTGATTGATCTTCGTCGCGCGTCCCTCCTTTTTTTTTTTTTTTTCCTTGTGAGAGCTTCCCTCCTCAACCTTTTCCTGCGCCTGAAGCTGCTGTTGTCCCTCACGTTCGTCAACCGCCAGCATGGATTTCATAAGGAACCTGATGGCATCTCCTCTGCCTGCCTCTACTCCAGAACCACCAATCGTCGTGGCCAAACCGATCCATCCCTACTATCCCACAGAGATCGAAATTGTCAACTACGCCGCAAACGAAATGACAGTCCCGGAGTTACTAGCCAGCTTTGCGGTTGGCTGTACCGTCATCCTCTCGCTCACCTGGTTCCTTGCATCTAGTCTTGCACCACGTCTCAAAACTGGAGATAAAATAACGGCGCTTTGGTTTTGCCTGTGTATGAGAAGAGCCACATACTCGTGATTGGGCGAGGCGGACACTGACATTGAAAAGGCGGCTTCATTCACTTGTTTTTCGAAGGCTACTTTGCCTACAACCATACCCGCATGGGCGGTCTCCAAGATCTCTTCGGTCAATTGTGGAAAGAATACTCGTTATCAGATTCGCGATATTTGACCTCAGATCCGTTTGTCTTGTGTATGGAGACGATCACGGCGGTATGGACTTGTCTACGCGCCTCCAAGAAGCGCATGTCGCACTGACATGGCTTAGGTATTCTGGGGTCCCCTTTCATTCTTGATGGTGTATTTCATCATCGTCTCCCATCCTCTGCGTTACCCACTGCAGGCAATCGTTTCACTTGGACAGATCTATGGCGACATACTCTACTACGCGACCTCGATGTTTGATCATTACTACAAGAACTTGACATATTGCCGACCTGAGCCATACTACTTCTGGTTTTACTATTTCCTCATGAATATCTTCTGGATTGTCATTCCAGCAAGTAAGTCATTCCTGGCCCCGATCGAGCAATCCAGAGCTTACTTGTACATCCAGTCCTGCTCGCTAGTAGCCTGCGAATCACAGCCAGAGCTTTCAAGGCGCTTGACCGGATGTCGCACTCGCTGCAAGAGAATGGCAAAGTAACCAGACCGAAAGCCAACGGCCACATCAAGCATGCATGATAGGGGCCATCAAATAGAGTGGTGGCGTCCACTAGAATAGTTCATGGATCAGGATGGGTTCATCTGATTTCTGCCAGAACTGCATCTTGCTTCAGGAACTAGTTCAAATCGCAAATGCTGGTCCAGACTACAATGGGCCTCAATTGTAAGCGAGGCATATCTCAGAGTTGAAGCATAGCAGCTGAAGTACTGAGCGATCTACACACCAGAGAAAAGATTAATCCTTCTGTTTTGAGTATGGGATCTACTATTTGTTTCTATTTGTATTATTCCGGGTCGTGTTCGGTTATCGATCTTGGTGGTTGCCCTGGGAACCGTTGCGACTTATCCGGCCCGGCAAGCTGGGATCTTTGACGCAACCTGCATGCCTGCATATTGACCTGCGCTACCACCACCCTTTGAAACTACACCTTGCATGAAACCCAGTGACGGTTCCGGTATCATTACCGCTGGTATCTGCAGTTATTTTTGTCCAAGAGAGGGCGTCCGTACCACAACTCCCTTGACCTTACACCACTACCAATAACTTCCTCGTACACCAAACCGAACACCAATATGCCCACGGAATGGTCTTCACCGCTCACGAGAACAACTGTATATGGATCGAGCAATAGTCACCACACATTGATGATATAGAAGGCGACCATAACATAGCGCTTGGACGCATATCTGTCAATGCGAGCCGAATCAACTCCAACCGCCGACCGCCGAACTTCCAAGCACAATCGCTCCAACACACGTCCTTCCTCAAAACCGCAAAATGTAGACTCACCTCGTCCTCCCAGTGGGCTGTACGAATCGCCTTCTGTCCAGGATCGTATTCGACAATGGCAGGCTCAAGGCGCAGCAAATGCCTTGGCCCCAGACGCAGTGAGCGTTCGATCGATTCCCATCTCTGAATGCCCCTCCACCGTGTCGAGACCCGAGTCGGAATGCGGAAATGAGACGAGAAGTCGGATCGGCGGAAGAGCCAGGGCCAAAGCTGAGGAGCAGCAGGAGAGGGAAAGGAGCTCTAGTGCCCCGCGAAAGCGCATTATCAGCGATGGTCACTGGAAGACACAAAAGCAAACCAGAGAGAACCAGGATGGAAAAGTTGGAACCAGCCGACGGCCCGAATCACGATTGTATGACCTCTCCTATACCTCGAATCAAGAAAAGACCAAAGGGCGACGACGCTCAAAAACAAAGCAATATTCGAATGCCGAACAAGGAGCGGAACAAGCAATGCCGCATGACGACGGCATTAGAGTGGCACCAATTCCAGACGACGACCAAGCACACGAGGCAATATCGCCGCCAGCTTACGACTTAGAGAGCCAAGCGGACGAAGATCTTGCTCGACACTTGACTACCGAGTCTGTCTTGTCCGGAGATTTTGGGAGACATGCCCACGACCCAACAGGGCTGGACGAGGACGAGGACGTCCCTGGCAATTGGAGACCAAGCAAATATGCCGAGTTGTTGGGAAAGCCTCCGGAAGCCTCTTTGGGTGGACAAGCGCCCAAATCCAAGAAGGGTGGATTGTTAGGCAAGACCAGAGGCATGTTCGTCAAGTCCGAGACGCTCTCTTCCCCGGGCAACAGACTACCCAGCATTGAAGCATGGCTTGACGAGCAACCCGATCCCTTTGTCGAAAAGGACGGCTTAGAAGAGCAGCCACCAGTCGAAGTGCCCCAGCCGTTGAAGAAACGTACGCACCGGAAGAGATCCTCTACCGAGAAGTCTATCACCCCCGATCCCAATCAGATATGGAATTCCATTTCACCTCAGCAGGCTGAATCAAGCCCCAATCATACCCCAAGGCCTGGTTATTCCGTACCCTCGCCCGGCGCAAACCAGAAGTCCTCGGCAGACTTTAGCAATCGTGCAAATGAGGCCCAGGATGGAAACGATGGCTCGCCCTCAACCCTGCGAAGGCGAGGTGCGAAAGTTCGCCGCCAGCGAGGCTCGAGCAGGAAAGAGACGCCATCGGTTGAAGCCTCCCCAGAACCCGCAGTGTCACAGGCAGACATTTCTCTAGCTGAGAACGCGGATATCAGAGCTCCTAGCCTACCTCAACGACCGTGTCCCCCAACAGGCCCGCACCTCCTTTCAACGATTCAGTCTGTGGAGACTCTCAAAGAAATCGATTCAAAGCCTCAGGCTGATGAAGGGATCCCTGGACAAGTTTGCGACCTCAAACGCAGGCTGACCACCCACGAAGATTTGATGTCAGTTCTGTCTTTGCCGAGAGGAAGCCGACCCCGTCGATCGAGACGCAGAGCGAGACCTACCCAGGTGAAACCTCAGTCAAGCTCAGCGCAAGAAATACTCGCCGCGGTGGTTGCCGACGAAGAAAATTATTCACGGGAATTGCGAACCTTGGTCGACGGTGTCATTCCAGTCTTGCTCCAGTGTCTTCTGTCTAAAACAGACGCGGCGGCTGCGGCTGGACTGTTCACTTCGGCATCGCCCCAAGATGGCCAGAGCATCACCAGGCCCATCATTGATATGGGGATCGCCCTGGAAAGATTGAAGGCCC